TAGCATTCAAATCATCATTTGGTTCAAGTACTCTCTTGTCCAGAGCAGCACCATAGTTGTCCAAGGCAACCTCTGGCTCCAACACACAGAGCTCCCAGGAAGTTTCCATGGACACCTTTGCAGCCCTGGATACTGTTGCCAAGGGCAACAACATATCTTTACTCATATTCACATCAACACTGTTATCCTTTGTGAGCTGTGCTAGCCCATCACCAACCATAACATTACATTTACCAACAGTAACACTTTTGTCGGCATGACCATCAGCATTCTCATTGCATATAGACATGACTGTGGTTTTTGCGGGTAATCCCTGGCTATTACCCAGCTGAGCAGCCTGTGAGCCATGCTTCACAGCACTTTCTCTCTTTAAAGGGACACTATATTTTCAGTTTTATCAGCTCCATAGCTGACCTGGGAAATCCTCTGCTCCGTCACTGCGGGCTCCTGGGAGGTTTCCCTGGGCATCTCTGCAGCACCTGTCACTAGGGAACACGGTGCCATGACAGTTTTGGTCACCCCTAGTCTAACTTCACCAGCCATCTGCTGGATTATAGCAGGCACATGCAGAATCCCCATGTCCTTTTCCATATTTAGTCCTAATCATTGGGCTGTTCCCTGCGCCTCCCCACTACTCAGGGTAGCACACAGCAGCCAGTCCATGTCCATCTGTATTGTGGAACTCCCTTAAGAACACACTCTCACGTCCTTGGAATCAGTCCCACAAACTGAAACAGTCTTACCATTTCCTGAAGCAGGTGTCATAGCCTTCACTTGAGTGCGTAGTCTCTCCTCTGTGGTTTCTCCACAGGCTGACTCCTTGGCACCCCCTGCAGGCATAACAGGTCCTTCCTCACTGTATTTAGAGGTGGCTGCCAACATTTTTAAACACGAATCTGGGCTTGCAGATGAAGACTTTTGCCCAGTAGCACCCTCATCAGTGGTATTCCATAATCTGGGGCAGGTAAAGATACCATGCCCAAACTGACCACATTCCAGGCAGGGTATGGTTCCACCGATAACCTTCTTGGGATACGGAACCACATCTCCCTTGTAGCCCCTTCTCCTGGTTGGCAAACTTTCTCCTGTTGCTATGGGAGATGGCACTCCCCCAGCTGAACTTTGTGGGTTCCTCCAGCCACAGGGCTCTGTCTCTCTCATTTCAGAAAATCTTGCTTCTTTTTTGAGTTTTGCCCGCCCCATCTTTGCAGTCACTCCACAACACTTTTGCACAGTCCTGGTACACAAGGGAGCACTGTCTCTTTAAGGCAAGTTCCTTTTCTCTTGCAGGATCTCCTCACCTGCACACACAGATAGTGCCGAGTCATGCACCAAACACAGTTCAACACATGAACTTACTTCCTTGCTGGGATCTCTAGTTCTGCCCGCATCCTCCACCATATGTGGGAACTCGCTTCAGAGTGGTAGAGCTTCTTCAAAGCACACAGCAACTCGCTTCATTTTAAGGGCCTTTTTGCCCAATTTTATTTACAAGAAAGTTCAAATAACAAAAATGCTTCCCACACAGGGGTATCCACCATCAAACAAATTCAGCCTTCTGGCTCTTTCAGCTACACAGCTTTATATCGGTCTCCTACAGACTCCTTCCACAAGGTTGTTTTTGCACACAGCAAACCTTTAGCACACAGCTATTCTGGCTCCCACCTCTACTAGGTGTAGCCCACCTGACTCCACAGCAGAGACCTCCTGTCTGCCGGGGTGGAGCCCTCCTGACTCCTATCTGCCGGGGTGGAGCCCTCCTGACTCCTATCTGCCGGGGTGGAGCTCAGAATCATGGCCTGGCCTCCCCTAAAAGGCCTGCACACACCTGTGCAATCAGCACACTGGCTGCTCCCAAAATATGGGCCCAGGATTGGAGATTTCATCCCTCCCAAATATAAAACAGAGGCAGAAAAGCAAATATGACATAATGTCACACAAAACCCCAAAAATGGGCTGGACAAAAGTATTGGCACCCTTAACTTAATATTTGGTTTGCACACCCTTTGGAAAACATAACTGAAATCAGTCGCTTCCTATAACCATCAATAAGCTTCTGACACCTCTCACCCTGAATTTTGGACCACTCTTCCTTTGCAAACAGCTCCAGGTCTCTCTTATTGGAAGGACACCTTTTCCCAACAGCAATTTAAGATCTCTCCACACAGGTGTTCAATGGGATTTAGATCTGGGCTCATTGCTGGCCACTTCAGAACTCTCCAGCGCTTCTTTGCCATCCAAATCTCTGCCAGAGGCAGCAAAACAACCCCAAAACATCATTGAACCTCCACCATATTTTACCGTAGGTACTGTGTTTTGTTCTTTGTAGGCCTCATTCCGTTTTCGGTAAACAGTAGACTGTATGTGCTTTACCGAAAAGCTCTATCTTGGTCTCATCTGTCCACAAGACGTTTTCCCAGAAGGCGTTTTGGCTTACTCAAGTACATTTTGGCAAACTGTAGTCTTGCTTTTTTATGTCTCTGTGTCTGCGAGTGGGGTCCTCCTGGGTCTCCTGCCATAGCGATTTCATTTAAATGTAATGTCTTGAATCCAGGCTACAGGTCCCAAAACAGGCTTTACAAACCAAAGAGGAAACTGATAAACCAGTTTCCTCTGCATTATGAGATCTGCCTGGAGCCCCCAACCTGTATAGTTGAGAAGGCTACAGGTCATGTTTATTCCCCAAATATAAAAACAGAAAAGGACTTTACAAAAACCAAAGATTGGAAAATATTTGGTTGCACACCCTTTGGAAAACATAACAGTCGCTTCCTTTCCTCTGCACCTCTCATGAGACCACTCTTCCTTTGCAAACAGCTGTCTCTCTTATTGGAGGACACCTTTTCCCAACAGCAATTTTAAGATCTCTCCACTGTTCAATGGGATTTAGATCTGGGCTCATTGCTGGCCACTTCAGAACTCTCCAGCGCTTCTTTGCCATCCATTTCTGGTGCTTTTTGACGTATGTTTGGGGTCATTGTCCTGCTGGAAGACCCATCTTGGACGCAAACCCAGCTTTCTGACACTGGGCCCTACAGTGCGACCCAAAATCCTTTGGTAATCCTCAGATTTCATGATGCCTTGCACACAGTCAAGGCACCCAGTGCCAGAGGCAGCAAAACAACCCCAAAACATCATTGAACCTCCACCATATTTTACCGTAGGTACTGTGTTTTGTTCTTTGTAGGCCTCATTCCGTTTTCGGTAAACAGTAGAATGATGTGCTTTACCGAAAAGCTCTATCTTGGTCTCATCTGTCCACAAGACGTTTTTCCCAGAAGGCTTTTGGCTTACTCAAGTACATTTTGGCAAACTGTAGTCTTGCTTTTTTATGTCTCTGTGTCAGCAGTGGGGTCCTCCTGGGTCTCCTGCCATAGCGTTTCATTTCATTTAAATGTCGACGGATTTTTGACACTGATGCTCCCTGAGCCTGCAGACAGCTTGAATGTCTTAAGCTTATCCAAAACTATTCTGCGTTTTTTTCAAAATCCGTCCACGACCAGGGAGATTAGCTACAGTGCCATGGGTTGCAAACTTCTTGATAATGTTGCGCACTGTGGACAAAGGCAAATCTAGTTCTCTGGAGATGGACTTGTAACCTTGAGATTGTTGATATTTTGCCACAATTTTTTTCAGGTCCTCAGACAGTTCTCGTCTCCTCTTTCTGTTGTCCATGCTTAGTGTACACAATGCAAAGGTTATGTGAACGTCTCTCCTTTTTATCTGCTTTCAGGTGTGATTTCTATATTGCCCACACCTGTTACTTGCCCCAGGTGAGTTTTCACATGCTTGTAACATTCTTATTTATCAGTTGTGAAAAATACTTTTGTCCAGAAGGTTTGTGTGACATTATGTCGAATTTGCTTTCTTTCCTCCCTTTTTTTGTTTTGTTACACACAAAGGGAATAAACATGTGTATAGCAAAACATGTTTAATGCAATACGTTTCGTGAAAATACATGATTTCCTGGAGAAATATCAAGGGTGCCAACAATGACTGTATATATATATATATATACTGCATGTTGAAATAGTTTTTATTACAGAATATAAGAAAAATATTTTTTAAAATACAGTTCATGTCTTTAAAAATACAAATCTACATTTTTGGAATGCATTTACAAATATATGTAACAATATATGTTAAAATGACTTTTTACATGTTCAAAAAAAATTTTTAAAAATAGTTTTGAGATATATATATATATATATATATATATATATATATGTACATGTACAGTTGTGTTCAAAATAATAGCAGTGTGTTGAAAAAAGTGAATAAAAGCTCAATATCCTTCTAATAGCTGTTACTTTTTTTTCCATACACACAAATGCATTGGGAACACTATACTTTCTATTCCTAATCAAAACATGAAGAAAAATATATCAAATTTATCAAATTTGTGTTGTTCCTCTGAAAAAAAAAAAAATAAAGAAAAGTGAATATTAGACTGTTCAAAAAAATAGCAGTGTTTGTATTCTTCTTTACAAACTCAAACATTCACTATATAAACTGAAAAATGTTTGAAGATTTTGCTTTCCTTTGAATCACTTAATTAATATTTAGTAGTATAAGACCGGTTTCTGAGTTCAAAAAAACTGCTGTACATCTGTGTTGCATGGAGTCAACCAACTTCTGGCACCTGTGAACTGGTATTCCAGCCCAGGATGATTGGACTACATTCCACAGTTCTCTATTTCTTGGTTTTGCCTCAGAAACTGCATTTTTGATGTCACCCCACAAGTTTTCTATTGGATTAAGATTCGGGAATTGGGCTGGCCACTCCATAACGTCAATCTTGTTGGTCTGGAAACAAGATGTTGCATGTTTACTGGTGTGTTTGGGGTCGTTGTCTTGTTGGAACACTCATTTCAAGGGCAATTCCTCTTCAGCATAAGGCTGCATGACCTCTTCAAGTATTCTGGTGTATTCAAACTGATCCATGATCCCTGGTATGCGATAAATAGGCCCACCACCGTAGTATGAGAAACATCCCCATATCATGATGCTTGTGCAACCATGCTTCACTGTCTTCACAGTGTACTGTGGCTTGAATTCAGTGTTTGGGGGTCGTCTGACAAACTGTCTCCAGCCACTAGACCCAAAAAGAACAATCTTACTTTCATCAGTCCTCAAAATGTTGCGCCATTTCTCTTTAGGCCAGTCAATGTGCTCTTTGGCAAATTGTAACCTCTTTAGCACACGTCTTTTTTTCAACAGTGGGACTTTGGGGGGGCTTCTTGCAGATAGCTTGGCTTCACATAGGCGTCTTCTAATTGTAACAGTACTCACAGGTAACTTTTTAGACCTTCTTTCATCTTCCTGGAGCTGATTGTTGGCTGAGTCCTTGCCATTTTGGCTATTCTTCTATCCATTCAAATGGTAGTTTTTTGCTTTCTTCCACGTCTTTCAGGTTTTGGTTGCCATTTTAAAGCATTTGTGATCATTTTAGCTGAGCAGCCTATCATTTTCTGCACTTCTTTATATGTTTTCCCCTCTCCAATCAACTTTTTAATCAAGGTATGCTGTTCTTCTGAACAATGTCTGGAACAAACCATTTTCCTCAGAATTTCAGAGAGAATTGCACTGTAACCAGCATGTACAACATTTGCTTCCTTCCTTCCTTAACCAATTCAATACCGGGCAATTTTACCCCCTTCCTGCCCAGGCCAGTTTTCAGGTTTCAGCGCTCTCACACTTTGAATGACAATTGCACGGTCATACAACGTTGTACCCAAACTAAAATTTTAACATTTTCTTCACACAACTAGCGCTTTCTTTTGGTGATATTTAATCACCACTGGGGTTTTTATTTTTTGCTAAATTAACAAAAAAAGACCAAAAATTTTGAAAAAAAAAAGGTTTTTCTTTGTTTCTGTTATAAAAGTTTGCAAATAAATAATTGTTCTTCATGAATATAGGCCGAGATGTATTCTGCTACATGTCTTTGGTGAAAATAACCCAAATTAGGATGTATTTTTTAGTTTGTAGGAAAGTTATAGAGTTCACAAACTATGGTATAGATCTGAATATTGATCAATCCTGAAGTACTGACAACCAATCTAATTTCTTGAGGTCCAAGAATGTCAGAACAGTACAGATATCCCCCAAAGGACCCCTTTTTGTAAAGTAGACAGTCCGACGTACTTCATAAGAGGCATGGCGAGTTTTTTGAAGTTGTATTTTTTTTGTCATAATTTTTTGGAAAATTAAAAAATTAAAAAATTAGTTTCACTATTTTTTTTTTACATACTGTCACCAGTGCAGTACAGCATCATCATATACCTGGCATGGCAGTGATCAGGGACACTGACTGGTTTTATTTTTTTTTATTATTTTTTATTTTTTTTTTTTTTTTTTTTTTAAGATTTTTTTTTCATATTTCACTATGACCAAAGTAGTACAATGTTACCATAGTAACATTGTACTACTTTGGGGAAGTGATCAGTATTTTTTTTTACACAATTTGCTTATAGCAAAGAATTACTTTGCTATAAGCAAGCATTTACCTGAATGACATCAATTCATTCAGGGTTTTTTTTTTTTTTTTTTGTGCTTAGCTGTGATTTGGCCACAGCTAATCACATGACATGTGCATGTGATTAGCTGTGACCATTCACAGCTAGACACTAGTATACAATGGATGGCATGAATGATGAAGCCATCCATAGTATACAACTCTATAGAAAATGAAAAAAGTGAGTGCTGATCCTAGAAAGCAGCTAAGCACTCTAAGTAACCAATAAATACTTATACAGAATAATATAAATAAAAGTGCAGCGCTAAGTAATTAATCTGAAAATTGTCCACTGTAAGTCCAGTTCATATAAACGTGCCAGGTGACAAATGGAAATCCACAATGGTGATCCGTGAGGAAGTAGCAGAAATGCGCACTCACCAGAAGGCGGATATATATAAGCAGTATATATCAAAATCTCATGGATCCTCGGTCAAGAAGATTTATTGTTGAAAAAAAGTGCCTTTCCTGGCACTAGGTGTATTCGGCCTCAGGAAGTTCCTGAGGCCGATCTATTAGTTGAAACTAGTTGAGGGCTTATGACACAACTTCCACTGATTTCACTTCCGGGATTTGGAACACATGCTGGAATGCAGTGGCCATCTTAATTCCCATTCATAATATACAAAGCTGAATACACCTAGTGCCAGGAAAGGCACTTTTTTTCAACAATAAATCTTCTTGACCGAGGATCCATGAGCTTTTGATATATACTGCTTATATATATCCGCCTTCTGGTGAGTGCGCATTTCTGCTACTTCCTCACGGATCACCATTGTGGATTTCCATTTGTCACACCTGGCACGTTTATATGAACTGGACTTACAGTGGACAATTTTCAGATTTATTACTTAGCGCTGCACTTTTATTTATATCATTGTATACAACTGTCATGTGACCTGCTGTGATTGGTCACAGCAGGTCACATGGTACCGGCAACAGGGCCGATACTCAGATCTGTCATCGGCCGTGTCCGAGGTACACGGCCGGTGACAGATCGCGCCGCTGCGCCGCTCTGTGCATGTACGGGAGGACACCATATGGCGTCCACCCGGAACGCTGATGACATTTGCCGCCCGCCATTTGGCCATAGGGCAGGTGGCAAATGGTTAAATAAGGGCAATAATTGTCACCTGTTTTCCAAAGAATGAATGACCTCACTAATAGAACTCCACACTGCTATTATTTTGAACATGCCCCTTTCAGTTAGTGATTCAATTACACAGAATCAGCAAAATGCATGTCATGACTGTTGGGTCTGTTGGATTTCTATTAATCTACTACACCTGCTAGTAAACTATTTGCCATGTAGAAATATCATTTCTACCAAAAACAGTGATTTATCAGGTTAGTGATGTCTGACTGCTATTATTTTGAACACAACTGTTTGTATATACAGTTGCAAGAAAAAGTATGTGAATCCCTTGGGATTACGTGGAGTTTTGCATGAATTGGGCATAAAATGTGCTCTGAACCTCATCTAAGTCACAACAATAGAAGAACACAGTCTGCTGAACATAATACTACACAAACATTAGATGTTGCCATGGTTTAATTGCACCTAACATGTAAACATTCACAGTGCAGGGGAGGAAAAAGTATGTGAACCTTTGGACTTAATAACTGGTTGACCCTCCTTTGGCAGCAATACCCTCAACAAAACGTTTTCTGTAGTTGCAGATCAGACCTGCACAACGATCTGGAGTAATTTTGGACCTTCACAAAACTGTATCAGTGTAGCAATATTCTTGGGATGTCTGGTGTGAATCGCTCTCTTAAGGTCATGCCACAGCATTTCAATTGGGTTGAGTGGTTCAGGACTCTGACTGGGCCACTCCAGAAGGTGTATTCTGTGCTGTTGCAGCCATTGTTTTGTTGAATTACTTGTATGCTTTGGGTCATTGTCCTGTTGCATCACCCATCCTCTGTGGAACTTCAGTTGGCGGACAGATGGTTGTACGTTTTCCTGCAAAATGTCTTGATAAACTCTGGAATTCATTTTCCCATCAATGACAACAATCCGTCCAGGCCCTGAGGCAGCAAAGCAGCCCCAAACCATGATGCTCCCTCCGCCATGTTTTACAGTGGGGATGAGGTTTTGATGTTGGTGTGCTGTGCCTTTTTTCTCCACACATAGTGTTGTGTGTTCTTCCCAAACAACTCAATCTTGGTTTCATCTGTCCACAGTATATTTTGCCAGTAGTGCTGTGGAACATCCAGGTGCTCTTTTGCAAACTTCAAACGTGCTGCAATATTCTTTTTGGACAGCAATGGCTTCCTCCGTGGTGTCCTCCCATGTACTCCATTCTTGTCCAATGTTTTCCTTATTGTAGATGTGTCAACAAAAATGTTAGCATGTGCCAGAGATTTCTGTAGGTCTTTAGCTGACACTCTGGGATTCTTCTTTACCTCATGCAGCATTCTGCACTGTGCTCTTGCAGTCATTTTTACACGACGACCACGCCTAGGGAGAGTAGCAACAGTGCTAAACTTTCTGCATTTGTGGACAGTCTGTCTTACCGTGGACACATGAACATCAAGGCTTTTGGAGATACTTTTGTAACCCTTTCCAGCTTCATGCAAGTCAACAATTCTTCATCGTAGGTCTTCTGAGAGCTCTTTTCTGCGAGGCATGGTTCACATCAGACAGTACTTCTTGAAACCAGTAAACCCAAAACAGGGTGTGTGTTTTTTAAGGGCAGGACAGCTGTCAACAACACATCCAATATCATCACACTGATTGGAGTCAAGGTTGGCTCACTCCTGGCTCCAATTAGCTCTGGGAGAAGTCATTAAGCTAGGGCCTCACATTCTTTTTCCTCCCTGCACTGTGAATGTTTACATGTTATGTGCAATTAAACCATGGCAACATCTAATGTTTGTGTAGTATTATGTTCAGCAGACTGTGTTGTTCTTCTATTGTGACTTAGATGACGTTCAGAGCACATTTTATGCCCAATTCATGCAAAATTCCACGTAATCCCAAGGGGTTTCACACACTTTTTCTTGCAACTGTATATATACATATATATATATATATATATATATACACACACACACACATACATATGTATATATATACACCGTATTTTTCTATCCATAAGCACTTGACCATAAAACGCGCCTAGGTTTTAGAGGACAACGAGGAAAAAAATAATCTGAACCAATGGACTGCAGAGATGACCAGAGACTGAGGACACAGTAAAGGAGATGACCAGAGACTGAGGACACAGTAAAGGAGATGACCAGGGACTGCGGACACAGTACAGAAGATGACCAGAGACTGCGGACACAGTATAGGGGATGACCAGAGACTGCGGACACTGTGCTGCCTTGTATTACACAAGGCATTCTTTAGCATTCAGCAGTGTCTGTCCCTTTTAAGGCTAGGGACGTCCTGTCTGCTAACTTGGGAGGAAGTGACCTCATCTCTTCAGACTGAAGAAATTCTACAATGCAAGTACATGTGGGATGCTGTTCCCTCTTCATATATGGGCTTGATTAGACCCCCAAAGTCTGTAAGTACCCTTCCTATGTACTGTGGAATGTTATGCACATAGCTAGGAAGTTAGATATGTACTTATGTTTGTTTATTCTGTTTGTATTTCAGTTTTACCGCATTTATCCACATTCATTTATTCACGCGCATTCATTCTCATTATGTCACATGTTATCAGTAAAAGATCATCGGTTATCAATCATCGACTCTTTACTGTGTGGACATCAAAGGTTATACTGCCTGTAATCCTCTGTAACCCTTTCATAACTGCAGAGAAGGCAGGACAGTAAAAAGACTTACACGGTTACTTCAGAGCACATTGTGTGAAAAATCTACAGCAAGCCCCACAACACAGAAAAGACTCTTAACTGTTAATACAGCAGCACGTGTGTGTGAAATCCCCACAGCACAGTCAGTCTAGGCATAGCAAGTGAAACTAACTCAGATATGAA